TGGGCCCCTCACTTCCGTTTCGCTTCTCATGCACTGATTCTCTGAGCTGAACAGCCAATCAGAGGGATTTCTTTGGCCGACGGCCTTTAGCCGACAGCGGAGGGTGTCGGCACGGCCGAAAAGACACGACGGTGCGGGACACACCAATCTGAGTAGGGCGAAAGGACGCTCATCGACGGCCAGACATCTATCGACATCTATCGACGGCCAAAATAACTGCTATATTTAGCTTACCTAGATAGTTAGAACGGTTGAACAGTAAAAGTAGGCCTAAAACAGCATTGTAAACAGAAAGACGCCTTACTGGTACTCCCCCACTCATAGTAGGAGAGCCTCTTGTAGCTAGTTCGAATACAACACATGGTACTGACCCACATAGCAACTCTTTCAAAGGGACATTAATGTGCTTGTAGACAAAGCTCTTTTGGACTCCCTGCCTTCAATGGAGAAACAAAGAGTCTGACTGTAGCTGTTTAGCTCTGTACCACAAATGTAACCATGCACGTCATGCTACGCAAAGCGGTGGTCAGTCCCCTCCACAGAAATCCAGATAATTGATCATGGAGAAAATGTCCCCCCCCTTTATGTTTTTATTTTTGGTCTTGATCTAGTCGCTTGACCATTTCTGGTGGTGGTTTTGGTGCCATTAAACCTGACTTTTATGTGCTTTTACTCTGATTACCATCTGACCAGTCATGTGGTGCTAATGCAAAGTACACATGGGGTTACTGATGCTGTACATTCGCAGAAAATCTAACCCGGGTTCCATTTCAGTGCTGCATATACAATAAAGGAGGCAGGAGAGCAGAAAGTGATAGCAGTCATGATTAAAAATGGAGAAGTAATCCCAGTGACTGGCCCATTAAACGCTCAGATACATCTCAGGTTCTGTTTGTTTTGATAGTAAAGCAGTGGGGACATATATTAATGTCCTTCTCTATTATGATTCCATTAGAAGAGCCAGTGCAATTTACCCACTCTCTTCAGACAATGGTCTCTGTGCTCTTCCATGGACCTAGTCTGTCTAGAGACACTTCGCCTTTTTACCCAGAAAAGGCCTTCCCAACTGGGGGACTTGTTCTGGATGACCCCTGGTATGCTTGAGGTGCAAAATCCAGGAGATAAAGAGCAAATAAAAGAGCAAAACAAGAAAAGCCAAGATGGACATTTTAAGATCTCACTGGAGGGTACCTTCCTTGCCAAAGTTTCAGTTTGAACAAGGTCAAAGATATAAATATAGAAATGACAGGAAAATAGGTCCTATGAGACGATGTTTATATCAAATCTGTCTCAGTCACAGTCTAATTGGAACCAAGTACTGGTCTGTTGATTGTGAAATTGTGTTTTGAGTAGAATACAATAAAGTTGGATTTAGTGAGGGCACTGTTAGCTTACATTGACACCATCTGTAAAATCATATTATTAAGGGAGACTCAATTGTATCTGAATGGTTATATTTAAAAAACTTGTTCATGTATTTCTAGTCAAAATGCGGGGTGCGACATAACATGTAAGGGCTGTCCAACATTAGTCAGGACGGATTAATCTAGACTTATCTAGAAGGGGACTCATTGTATTACACTTAATTATTCATCTTCAAAAACACAAAATGTTTACAATTGAACAAAAGCCAACTATCATGTGGCTACACTTGGTGTTTCCGAACCCAACAGCTGGGACAAAGCAATGGTTTTTCTAATTGTGTCTATGATTCTAAAGTCAAGACCGTCAAGCCCCAAATCAAGACCAACATGTCACATGTCAAGGCCCCAGGTCAAAGCTATTGTCAATACTAAGAAGCCCAAAGTCAAAACCCAATGTAAAATCAGAGAAACCTTTAAAGGAATTAACAAGGTCCCGCCTTCAGCACTGTATCCTGTCCTGTCAATAGCCACATGTCCGAATTCATGCTCCTATTAAAAAACAGCATGTTTCAAGGCCTGTCCGAGAGTTTTAAACGTTTTGGGGCACAATGCACCCTTAGTGAAATGCAAAGCCATTTTATTTTATTTTGAGACAAAGGTTTTGCATATTGCCGTTTATGATAAACCAAGTCTTTATCCGCCTGTCGGTGTGCACTGCTGTGCATATTGTATTGCTTGACATATTAAAAACACCAGTGTCATATTCGACCTTCACTTGGATGTAAAGGTGCCTGTCTAAAAACTACTACTTTTCAAACAGTAAGAACAATTTCTTAATAGGTTATTAGAATGTTTTGAATGATGTAGATGCTAACTGAAGTTATTTTTCATTCAATTGTTCCCTTAAACCTGTTTGGTTGTTATGGTTGCATATTACCCACCACAACAATGCATATTTAGTAAAAGGGTGCCACGACAGCAGTTAAACCAAATAATGCGAACTCTTCGACCCTCACCAACATTAACAGAGAATGGGAACTCAATTCTGACATACTAAAGTTGGTGTAATTTATCAGAAATGTACATGTCCTCCTCCAGACTTGTTCTAAATGGAATATGCAGCTGTGTGCATGGCCTGTACTGCTTTTGTTGTTGAAACTTTCTACAGGTATTGTTTTAGTGTTTTAAAGCCAAGGTTAACGTTTCTATTTTGAGGCTTCACATTCACATAACCAGTCATTTTTAGAAACGGCTCCAATGGCTGATTTACTGATACACAGAGGTCAGCACTTTGATTTACTCACTTCCTGTCTTGTCTTTCTTTTTGTTTGAGAGTTTTTCCTATCTTAATGTTTTTTTCAAAAACATTTTCCATTGTAGATAACTCTTTTCCTCTTTTAGCACACTGACAGCTATTAATGTAACTTGAACTCTTTGTAAATAGTTTGCGAATTTTAAGCAGACTTTCCTTTAGTAAAACAAACGTTTCAGAGGGGTAGATAAAGGTCGCAAGGTTGACTGCTGTCATGTAACTGCTGCTTTTTTCCTGATAATAGTCTTTTGATAAGTAATTGATAAAATGATGGATAAAGTGTTTTTGCTTTCAGATAACTATGTAGAGGGAGTTAATAATGAGAGTTGATGGTAATCTGTTAGTTGTTGATTGATGGCGTTCAGTCTAGCCGTTAATGACCTGTCAGATGGTGGGAAAAAATGAGGTTAAAGGTCATCGGATTCAGATCAGCGGAGCTCCTGCCCACTGCCACTGTGGTCATCTCTCCCTCTGTCTCTCTGATAAAGACCAACCATGTTTGTTTTTTCGTGTGGTTCTTCATGTCGGAAGTGAAGTTGGGCCGTCCTCCAAGAGCAACATGTGGAACTAGAAATAGGGGGTTGAGATTTGCATGGGAGTCCTGATGGAAAGAAAACAGACAGAAGATAGAGATATACTGTCAAGAAAGTAGAACAATCTCCTGCTTTTGGTAGTTTTCCTGTGCTTAACCAACAAAATTATTGTATCTGATTTTAAGTAAAAATGTATTGTGGCGTCACATCTTTAAAGCTTTGTCACGGCATGAAACACATGAGACTATATAATCAAACCACAATGGCTATTATTACCCCTTAATACTGAGCCCCTACCCCACCACCATCATTCCCTGTCAGCCCATTTGTTATTAAAGTGCTGGAATGTGTCTGGTACTTTATCATAGGGTTAAGCGCTAAGCGTTCCCTCTGACTGAGCTACGTCCTTACCCCACCTTTAACAGACACACATGCTATGATAGAAACTAATATATTAGCGTGTCTCAATTCAGGTACTATACCTTTGCTGTTTTGGGAGCATAAGTGTGTTTCAATTTGATATATTGCAGAATGCAGAGGATAACCCGATGGTGCAAGTTAAGCGTAGAACACCGCCTTCCTGGCTTCTTAACACAAGTTAGGCAACCAGCTGTGATTGCAATTGCTTGGATAATCACAGCCCTATATTAAAGCTTTCATGTGGGCTCAACGTACCACTCGGCTGGTCTTGAAGTGTAGCCATGTTTCATTTAATAGGATTAATTGAGCAATCTGTAATGATTTGATACTGCAAACAATCTTTGCTAGCTAGTTAGCTAACCGTGATCACCACTTTCGGCTAGGGCACAGCAGCTGTTGCAGTACAGTGCATCACATGTAGTTAACTAAGGGAAGTAGCTGAATTGAGACATAGCAAGTCTACACACATGTATTGTAAAGCAACAAACACACACACATAGGGTTGATGATGGTAGACCATGTAGCTAATGGATGGTCTGAGTGCAGGGGGGTGTTTGTCTGCCACTTTACCATGGCGGTCAAATCCAGTTAATTCCATTTCATTTCAGACACAAGTCTACCTGAAATGTGTTCGAGAAATGGTATACAGGCAATATTGGGGTACATATCGTGCTTTCTATATCATTTTTGATGCTCAGCTTCTTATCTTGCACCTTCTTTAAAGTGGACCTATCATGCTATATTTGAATAATATATGGTAACCATATACCTATATAAAACATGTCTGCGAATACCAAACAGATCATGCATTTTAGCCATGCCTCATTTCGCTCTATTTGCTCCTTTTTAGCAAGTCTTTGTCTGTTTTTGCAAGCGCTGAATCTGTGAGAAGTCTTCTTCGCTGCTTTTGTGGCAGACTACAGCGCCACCTACAGGCCTGGCACATATGCCAGGCCTGTAGGTGGCGCTGTAGTCTGCCACAAAAGCAGCGAAGAAGACTTCTCACAGATTCAGCGCTTGCAAAAACAGACAAAGACTTGCTAAAAANCAAATATAGCATGATAGGTCCACTTTAAGTACAGTTCTCATCTCTGTTCGCCTCGCTGTTGGCGCCGCTCACCAACGTCTGGGAGCCGAGACTATATAAAAAAAATAACGGAGTAACGCACCATGTAGTAACGGTAACTGAGTTACTGAATTTAAAAAATAACGCGTTACATTACTAGTTACTGCCAAAAATAATTACTTTGTAACGCGTTAGTCCCAACACTGTTGATTACTGATAATGGACAACAAAATAAAACCATCAAGATCCTACTCTGAGTAACACAATGTGAGTGGTCCATCTTATATTCAGAAAAATACCTTTTGCTCTTCAATGAAATTGACCGTGTCCTCCGGGACACCTCGACCTCTCAAGAAAGTCACAATATCTGACAGTTTCTCCGCCATCATGGACCTGTATAGTAAAATACACAAGAGGAAATGCAAACGGAGAATGCGAAGGAGTTGCAGACGAGAGGAATGAGCAGGATGTGAGCAGAACTGCAACTGTACAGTAGAAACAAGTCAATTCTGTAACACAAAATTAAAGTGTTTGTATGAATCTTTTCTCATTATTGTTTGTATATGTGTATAAGTGGATCATTTTTTTAACTCTCATATCAAGTCAAGCTCAGTTAAAGACCACAATGTTGTTGACTTACTCAACTATGCCTTCATTACAGGAAGACTAAAGTATGTTCTAAGTTTGATTTTACAAAAAAAACTTGCAAATGTGTAGGCCTATATGGAAGAAGAATGGTAATGCACGGGATACATGGGATCAAAACATGCTGTTAGAATTTCTGTATCTGACTATGTAAACGAAAGCAATATGTTTTATGGCAGCATGCGGCTCTGACTCAAAAGCCTGTGTTGCTTTGGTAACATTGTTATACTAATATGTTATGTTTATCTGAGTATTTAATTAATGTACAGTAGGAATATTCTTGCAATTACTTCAGATGCCTGTGCCTCTCCAAACTGATCAAATATCATCATAGCTTGTCTCTGACAGTAGTATGTCACACAATTACAAATACAAGAACCTGTCTCAGGCTTTGAACTCTAGTTGTGTTCCCATTGTGACAAAAGCAATATCAGTAATGTGTTTTCAACTATTTATTTGTTTGGTGTATAGTATATCAACAAAACATGATTGCTGCTATACTTCAAGTCAACATACAGTAAACCAGACATACACAGATCATTTAGAAACTAATGCCAGTTTACCTTAGACCAGTATACCTCACCTAATGCATGTACCTGTTATTTTGCAGGCTTCTGTTGACCCTTTTGAGTAGAGGCCATGTAGCTCAGGGTACCTACTGCCAACACTGAAAACATGATACAGCTATTCAGTTTGATATAGAAGTTTGCATTCTGTTGTCCTAACAGGCATCTTTAATATGATCACACTGGCCATGAAACACAGGTGACAACTAACATGCAGTGTCAACCAGAAAGGAACTGTACTGGGTCTACTATACCTGTTCCCAGGGTGGTCTGTTTACGCCTACTTGGGCTGCTGCTGTAAACAAACAGATCTGCCTCTGAAGTTTACTGGCCAGGCCTGAGAGAGACAAGTAGAGACCAGCTAAACATTATGTGCACTGCAGCTCAGCTTGTGTAAGAGTGTCATTTTGACAGATTAGAACACAACTCGGAACAGCGCCAACATGTCCACCAGCGGCCCACATTATATTACATCCTTAGTGGCCAGGTAGACTGAGGGCGATCTAATGTACTCTACTGTAGTCTGTAACTATTATGTAGTCATTCACACCCCTGTCCAGTTGGTGGCGAGTGTGTGTATATTAAGTAGCTATTGTCTAGTCTTGTTTTTGACTTCGTTGATTAACTCATTGTTTAACCGGCTTTGGCAATCGCAAAATGTCACGGCAGCTGATCGTCCGAAGCTTTTTTAAAAAGCCCAGTAATTGTGATGGTGTGGATAAACGTGGTGAAAAAAGAGGGATTGATGCGGTGGAGGATGAAGGACAAGCCAGTGAGACTAAAACTGACAGCGTTCAGCCAGCGGCAGAGGGGCAAGCAAGTGGCAAGGAGTTCAAGCAGGAGTACCGGGTTCGGTGGGAGCAAGAGTTTAAGTGGCTGAGGAGGGAAGATGGCAAAATGTTCTGCGACATCTGTAGAGTAGCTAAGATGAGTAACGGATTTGTTCGAGGGTGCACGACGATGCAGAAATCAGCGCTCGGGCTAGGCTACAGCAGATCAATTGAGTTGTTCTTATAAATGTGTTGTTCATATTCTGATTGTAATTGTCTCATTTAAAACGATGGCATTGTTCATATTTGCCTGTTTAGGCACAATGGTTGCGGTGTTTTTAGCGGCCTTTGCCTCTGCTGTGCTGTCAGTGCAGGAAAAAATAAATCATTCATGTTCGTGTTGACATGAAAAGTGACCACACGGTCGGTGTCTCTGTTCATCTTTTTTTTTCTCCATGCCCTTAAAAGTTCTGTATGAATCATTAAAAAAAAATGAATGAATGAACATTTGCTGCTCAGTACCCAAACATACATATTAAATAGGCTATGTCTCATCTCATCATTAAAACATGAAAAATAAAATGACGGGTAATAATGGATTATGACGGACATTTTACGATCCTGTCCGTCAAAATGACGGACAACGAACAAGTCTAACGCAACCACTGCTACAACCTATAGGAAGCTATAGCGGCGTCCAGTAGCGTTAATTCTATATCCTCCTGCCTGCATCATTTATGAAGAAAAATATTTCATAACATTAACTCCAACATATTTCGAGTGGTTTAAATAACATATCCGTATTTGATTTATTTCTCAAAGTTATGTTTTTTTGTGTGCACTCGAGGAGTCGCAAACAGGTGTTTGTTTAATCACTTTTTAAGATGGCTTTAAATCAATGTTGGAAAATTGAATTCTCATATATGATTAAGATTGAGAGGTGATATTTAAATTTATGGTATTGATTTCAACATATTCTCTCCATTACTTCCTTCTTCTGCCAAACGGTGTCAACAGTTCTCTTCACTTCCCGTTTTTGTGGGCTTAGTGGCGTAACGCATGGGTAGCAGTTGCATGGAGGACCGCACGTTTTCCCGTCAAGTTAATATTGATAAATCGCAAACACATATGCCGTAGAAACTGGCCGTACGCGTAAGTTATAAATGCTGTCCTCTGTTAAGATTTTGAATTAAGACCAGAATTGAATAACATGAATACATTATTTCTGATAAAAGCTATTGTGAATTATGTCTGACAATTATAAACTTTGGTGGTCCTTGTTGCGGGCAATAATTTGCCCTTTGGTATTAACCTTTGACACTGTTCATCATTTTTCTCTCTCACTGCCTACCTTTCCCATGGCATAGGTCTGACGGCCTTGCCGGTATTTGCTGCTATCTGCTCTTAAGGATGGGCCAGCTTGGGCGCATTGTTGTTTCCAGCTTATGACCGAGCACAGCTGACATGAGATCAAGTTTATTGCTTCAGCGGACATCTAGAAGCCCTTCTTTTTAGGACGTAGGTTCCCTCGCGCCCACATTCTTTTCGGCATGGACGACCCAGCCTCTGTTAGATTCAGAAGTCCATTATTTGTTTAGTCTCGCTGATAAAGAATGTTGCATTATTACACTCTGAACTAGTTCAACCTGGAGCTACAGGGAGGGGGTCTTCAGAATTGATTGTGGCCCATCTCAACCGTGTGTGTATATTCTCCTGCTGTGTGTGTGTGTTGTGTGTAGCTGTTTGTGTAGTGTGTGTTTTGTGTGTGTGTGTGTGTGTGTGTGTGTGTGTGTGTGTGGTGTGTGTGTGTGTGTGTGTGTGTGTGTTTTGTGTGTGGTGGTGCTGTGTGTGTGTGTGTGTGTGTGCTGTCGATACTCGCGAGTGACCGCCGATATGGGTGTGTGTGTGTGTGCTGTCTTTCAGGCCTGATTCGTCCACCATTTTAAGCTGCCAGCCATGCCAGTTCCTCGGCCCTTCTGCTCGACTTTCTCCTCTTCCAACTCACGCGGAGGTATTCCTGTTTTGCTGTGTGGCTAACTATACCGGCTGCGTTGGAATCTTAGAAATAAAAACTACCTTTACCTGCTGTAGACATGCGATGTAGGCGTGAGAACCCTTCCTTTTTGGGGTTTGAACCTATTTTCTCCTGCTTTACTTGGCTAAGACTAGACGGTCTGTATTTTATTTATTTATTTTGTTTAGGCGAAGATATATATATATGCAAAGGTTATTTTTATTGTTCCTATGTGGGTTCTATCTCGCTCTCCTTTTTTTAAAAAAAAAACAGGCTAATTAAAATACCTAACGCATTTTCCTGTGTCCAGTGACCGTTTCGTTTGGGAGTGGGCGAGAGTGAATTCTCCGGGCCCAAAGCTCCCAAATAAACCGTCAGTGTTTGCCATCAAAGCTCCAGCGTCTTCCTCGTGTCTCTTGAGTCCTGACTGAAGTTTTCCCCCACAGTCCTTATCATGATAAACCACACACCTCCTTATCATCATCACTATTTCAATGGCAATATGCTAAAAATGTCGATGTCACCGCCATGGTCTCTAGTTGTTATTTGGACATCATTAAAATCACTTTAACCTTTAATTAATTATTTAAGGATCTTTCTAAATAAATGCTTGTGCATAACCCTGTGAATGATAACCAGAATAGGTCATAAACCATTTCAGAGGCATTTCAAATGAGGAAAACCCTGTTAGCCATATCTACTTCTTGTTTACTTCATATATGAAATCCAACCCGGTCTCACGCCATTCGTGTATTAGTCACAAATTTATCTATTGGATTTGTGTTCACCAACACGATTCTTCCC